TCGAGTGGCTGGGATTACAGGTGGGAGCCACCGTGCCTGCACAGGCCTGTTTTGTTGCCCTGTGTCTCTTCCTACACAATAAGAAGCATTAAATTCCTACGAGGAAAAACACAGCCTGCAGAAACTCACTATGTTGCACTAGGTAGGTCATTTTAACATCTTGTCTCTTTTACGGTTTCACTGCTCTTCCCTTCAGTGGAGGATGGGGGAAGAAACCTACCTCCTCCCTTCTCTTTCTTTCCTTCCATCGTCAAGAGCACTGCATATTGTAGAAAATCAAGAGTGTGGAATAAGAGGTTTGTACTTTAAGCAGCTGTAGTCCTTAAACTGAAACGAACTGTGATTTGTGACTCTAAGCAACAGACCCGCACAGGCGATGCCCCCAGAACCCAGAGTGACTGCCCTTTCCTCAATGTCGGATCCCCTAGAACTGCATCCGTTCCTAACACTGTGACATTTAAACAGCAACTGGACAAACCCAAGGTTAAGAGCCATTTGCAGTTGGGAGAAAAGAGATGCCTTCCTCTCCCCTGAAGAGTCCAAGTGACTGGCCCGCAGCAGCTCAGCGCCCACAGCATGTCTTCCCATCTGCTCCTGACGGCCCTGACAGGCAGGCAGGTGTCCCCGCCACACTGGGAGTGCTACACCAAGCACCTGGCTCCGTGTCTCTACTGGTTTGCCTGGTGCTGCTACGCTATGGTGCCAGAGCTGGGACAGGGGCCAGCCACTGTACTGGAAACCGTACTCGCTCCTCCACTGGCAGGCACTCCGGGAACACCGGAGCCTCAGAGCCTCAGGTACCTTTTTCTTCCAAATATCACTGGCACCTTCCATCTCGCTCAACCCAAGCCCAGATCACATGCAGCGCCCAGGCAGGCACTGTTCTGACAGCATATGGCCATGTGGGACGGATCCCCCCAGCAGCTGCTGCCCCCCACCCCCACCATCAGCAGGGTGGATGCACACCTGGGGCACAGATCCTGTGGGCTCAGGTCCTGCGGGCTGCACCAGCCCCCAGCCACAGTTCCCCTGCACAACGGAATGACAGGATCAATTTCATGTTTTCAGAGGGAACAGACTTTTGCTTCTTTCTAAAAATGTATTTAGTTATTTTGGTACCAGAATGCAAGGAAAGAGCCCTATATCTGGATCCAAACACATTGCTTCTCTCTGAGTCTTCGACATTTACAGCATATAAATTCTCTGGAACACGTGGAAATAATGTTTCAACTGCATTTAAGTCACAATCTGGAAATGTTATGTCGTTCTGGAAGCTTCCTGGTGACAGCCACAGAAACCATCATCCCAGCTTTCTTGTTACTAATTTATGACAAAAATAATGCAGTTTTGGGGGAAATGTTTTAAAGAAGCGTTAGATTATTGTTCCTTCTTTGTGGAAAAAAAGCAAATATGGACTAACCAAATGCTGTGTCTGGATCCTGTATATTTAAACATAATTTATTCTAATAACAAATGACAGCATGCCCTCTGCCAGGGGCCCTGACATCACACTTCACTTGCAAGCAGCCTGAGAAAGGAGAATCACCCCCAGCTGTCAGCTCAGACAACTGAGGTCCAGGTAGGTGGCTCATCCAGGAGAACACTATACTGTGCGGCTGAGCTAGGACGTGAAGCTGGTGCCTCTGTAAATACACAATTACTAGGATGACCGTTCTGATCGTGTACAAGGAAGAGGTTGTGACAGCATGCACAGCACCGCCCTGCACAGCAGCGCCGGCCAACCAATGGCTCCATGTGAGACTGAAGGCTTCATTCTTAGGACCCACGAAATAAGAAGTGTCAGATGGATATGAAAAATAACAAGAACAGTACTGCCAAAAATCATGTCACATGTTCCCTGACCATGTCTAGCAGGCCAGGTCTCAAAGGATGTGGGGGAGGCCGTGTCGAAAACAGACACATACACAGGAATGCTATTCATGATCCACGGAGGAGCGTCGGCCTCCAGGCGGCCCAGGACCCAGGACCCATCTGCACCATGCCCCAGTGTGGATCTCACATCTCCAGGACCAGCTGGAGAGCCCTTTCCTGATGAAAATGGCATCAGCCCACATTCTGACACTCACTGGCAGCGCAAGTCACGTCCGTGTGGCAGCTGGGGAGCCGCTTTCTCTCTGAGACGACAGAGCATGCCACCTCAGGACATCCTGAAACAGGTCCCAGTGTGTGCAACTGTGATTCATGAAATACCAGCAAAAGGTCTGAAAGTTCCTGCCCTGGGAACTGATACACCCCTCCTGACAATGGCCTAGACAAGCGTTTTTAGAAGCCCATAATGATAATGTTTCCTTCTGGATTTGTGGTGATTTAGTCATGAGAGCATCTTCAGAGGCTTCAAAGAGACGAAATTACACCCCTCGCCCCAACTGAAGACATTCTTTCCTATGACCTTTTGGTGAGGGTCAAAGGAATTTTTTTTTTGAGACAAGGTCTCACTCTGTTGCTTAGGCTGGTATATAGCAGTGTGATCTCGGCTCACTGCAGCCTCAATTTCCTGGGCTCAAGTGATCCCCCCACCTCAGCCTCCTGAATACCCAGGACTATGGGTATGCACTACTATGCATATTTATAAATTTATAGATTATAAATCTATAGCTAATTTATAGATTTTTTTGTAGAGATGGGGTTTTGCCATGTTGCTCATGGTCTCGAACTCCTGAGTCCAACCCATCTTGGTCTCCCAAAGGGCTGAAATTACAGGTGTGAGCTACTGTGCACAGCCCAAAGGAATTTTTAATGATGAGTTGATCCATTTCGTTGGCTGAAAAAAACACCTGTGTTATCAGGGTTTGTTTAGGGTCAGTGGGGGCGACACATGGCCATGAACAGACAGGAGAAAATAAGACAGTGCCACCTTATAATAAACGCCACACATGACATGGCTGAAAACCGCAGGTGCGACAAGCAGTATGTGGCCTTTTCCTTATTACTTCAGGAGTGCCTGTCTAGCTGCACCCACACACACACTGGCACGTCACACAGCCACTGACAAGAGCAGACATGGGTGGGCTCGCTGGGTACCACAGCCTCCCTGGGAATGAGCTCAGACAGTGTTCCACAGCCTGCTTGCCCACATATGCCCTCATGGGCACACATTTAGGAACACTCACAAGGAGAGGGCAGGCCTCCTCCCACTGCCCGAGCTCACCTGCTCCATGGGGCACAGATGCCTTTCTTTCCCCAGCTCCTCCCATGCGCACGCATTTAGGACACTCCCGAGTGTTTGCCATACCAACAAGGTTGCAAGGGACACCCTACGTGTGTGTGCACAAGCTCCTCTGTGGAGTGGATTTCTCCAGGGCAGGGAGCTTGCAGGAAGATGTTATGAGCCCAGTGCTAACTGGTAACAGGTAAGTGCCCTCTGGAGGGGCTGTCCTAAGGCCCCACAGTCCTGAGAACCCTGTGCCCCCACATTCCAACTGGGTTGCACTTAGCATTTACCTTCTGTCAATCTGAATAAAGGGCACCTTGAAGACCTGTGGTTGCTGGGGCTGGGGGAGGGAGGGCTGAACAGAGAACAGAGGATTTCCGGGGCAGTGAACCCTCTTCACGAGCTATAGTGGTAGGCAACGTTACGATACATTTACCCAAACCCGCAGACGCACGGTACCCGGCGTAAGCCCTCAGTGAACTGTGGACTCCAGGTTAGGACGAAAGGCCCACGCAGGCTCATGGACTGTAACAAACGCGCCACTCCAGGAGGGCTGGTGGAGGGAGGGGCCGCGGGTGTGTAGGGAGGGGTACGTGGAAAGTTCTATACTTTCCACTCAGTTGTGCAGTGAACCTCAAACTGTTCTAGAAATAAAGTTTATCAATAAAATAGTGCCTTGCTTTAATGGTATTTTAGTTGCTAATAAGGCTAAGGTATGTGCATATGAGTTTATCGTTTATTTACATTTCTTTTTCTGTGAGCTGCCTATTCATGTCCTTTGAGCATCTTGTGTTGGGTTGGTTATCTTTTTCTTAGTTTAGTAAGAAATCTTTGTATTTAAGAACATTAATTTTAGTCATATATACAGGAAATGTTTTCCCAGTTTTTCCTCTATGAATATCTCATACACATATTTAGATGTAAAAAAATGTTATTAAGCTGTATCATTTTATTTATCATGGTAATTTCCGGGTTTGTGGCACGCTTGGAGAGGCTTTCTCCATTGCAAAGTAATAAAAGCATTCTACGGCTTTTTATCTTAGAGGTTTATAGTTTCATTTGATGTTGAAATTCCCGTCCATCTGGAGAGTTTAGAATAGGAGAGGGCTGGGGTCTGAGAGCCAGCTCTGTTTCCCCAGTGTGGCCCATTCATTTCCCCATTCTTCGGTGAATGATCCATTTAGCCCAGTGAATTGAAATGTCACCTCAATCAAGTAAGAATTTTTCCTGAGTCCTTGAGGACTCTCTAAGTTCACACTGAATACATTTCTTAAGGCAATGCTTCTTTTACTTAGCAGGTAGCCAGTGAACACAGCTAAATGGTTAAAAAGTGGTTAGTTGAGTGTTCTCAACTTGCCTTTCTAAGCCAAACCTAGAAGGAATTTTCTTTCCCTTTTTTTTTTTTCCCCATTTTTGAGACATAATCTTGCTCTGTTGCCCAGGCTGGAGTGCAGTGGCGAGATCTTGGCTCAATGAAGTGTGAACCTCCTGCGCTCGAGTCGGGCTCCTGCCTCAGCCTTTAGAGCACTTGTACAGGTGCGCAGCACCACACCCAGTTAATTTTATTTATTGATTTATTTATTTGCAGGGCAGGGTCTTACTTTGTTGCTCAGGCTGGCCTGGAACTCCTGAACTCAAACGATCCTCCAACCTCAGCCTCTCAGAGTGTTGGCATTGCAAGCGTGAGCCACCATGCCTGGCTGGAAGGAGTTTTCTGTTAGCACGTGGCCACGGACAAGAAGCCTTCTTTGACTTCGGCACTGGGGGTCAGCTGAGCTGCATCTGAAAGGCGTCTTTTCCGCACTGTGTAGCCCCCTACGCGACTTACCTCTACATCGTGAGTCTCCACACTGATGATGAAGACTTGACCTCCAGAAGCTGCCCACAACGTGTCTTCCATCATGAGTAGACTTCTAACGGGCAGGACACCTAACTTTATCACTTTTTGAGGTTCTGAATCCCAGGATCCATCTTAAAAGAAAAGACGTAATTTCATTCAAGTTCAGTATTCTGTACACAGGAATAGGAAAATGGGATCACAGATCATTTTAAATAACAGACAACCAGAAGAGCACATGTAGTGTGAACTCTAGTGCCTGATCCTGTGTGTGGGGGGGATCCACGAGCTGTCGGCCACACCAGTGAGGCCATGGAGCCTATCAGGAAGCACAGACAGCTGTGGTGTGCACAGCCTGGGCCCTCCACCTATCCCCTTCACGTGTGTCCCAGACAAACTACTCATTCACCCTGAATCTCAGCTTCCCTACTGTATGATGAAGACCATTCTATCAGTAGCCTCAAAGGTTTCAAGAATTAAATTGAAATAATGCGTGTAAAAAACTCAGCACAGTACTCAACGCACAGGTGTTCAATAAATACTTCTATCTACAATAACAGTACATAAGACGGTACCATCGTCATGGGAACGAGCTGCATGCAAAATAACCGGGCGGATGTCGCACTCCCCATTAGCTGTTTCCACTCTAACACGTGCCTTGCTATCTACGGTATCACGAGGAGAGACCACATCTTCACAATGCTTTAAAAAGCCAAAATTGAGGTAAAAGGAATTCCTTTCTTTTGATAAATTTGTTCCCTTTCTTGAAGCCTAGGGAGTCATAAAACATTTTGGTTCGAAAATATTTTCAAAGATCTACTGGTGAGGTCTTTCACACTTTATATCAACTATGAGTCATTAGCTTGAACACCAATAAAAAGTATTTGAAACAAGATTTACCATAAATTTTTAAAGTGACTAATGTAATTATCCCGTAAATAATTAAAATGAATTCTTCAATTCTCCATCTAAGCATTAATTAAGGCATCGACCTTAAAAATGTAACTAAATTATGAATGCATCGATGCCTTCGACTTCCTAATCAAATAAACACGCTTCACTCAGTCAGGAGAACGCGGCCCTAGTTCTTACCCATTTGTTCTGGATTTCAAGCCCTGAACCTCTGAATACAAAACGAGTGTCTGAAGCTGAGGTGTGCAGTCACTAACAGGCAACTATCCAAGCTTCGCCTTGTGGCATACTTTCCGTGATTGAATGGAAATGCTTTAATGTTGCAATTAGGCTAAAGAGTGTTGCTGGGTGATGATGAGCCCCAGGGAACGTGAGCCTGCTTTTCACGTGGAATATGTGCACAGGGCCCAGTGTGCATGGGCCTTCCCATCTGGCACTCACAGCCCTCTAAAGCAGTGCGACCCCCAGAACTACATGGACTGAGTGCAGAGCTACCGTTTTCTCTGACATTCACAGGCTCTGAAGGGCACGGAGTGGCACAAGAATGCAGGGTTTTGAATCCTAGGTCAGAGCTCTATCCACTACCCGCTGCACTTGAATCCTGGCTGTCCAGTGTGACGTGGCAGCGTCCGACGGATAGCACAGTTCCTTTGAAACAAGAACTGGAAGCTCAGTGACAGGATGGCCCACTTCAGATGTTTCGCTTGGTTAAGGTTTAACTTCCAGTAACTGACCTTTGTTCTCTAAGCACCTGAGTGGGTCTTTCTGCACTGTGCGGCGTGCACTTGTCTTTCTTGGGATGACTTCTCCCTGCATACCTGTCTCAGGCCAGAGCCCTCAGCAGGCTGCCCACACCACAGCCAGACACAGGCACATGCTAATGACGTTCTGAACTAACACTTAAAAGTCTGAAAATTGCCACAGAATTTCAGATTCTTAAGAGCCTTGAAAGTCAGGGCCCTGGCAACAGTGAGGAGCCGGGAAGCAGCCTCCTCGCTCTGCACAGGCTGAGGCCTCCAGCCAGCCACATTCCCCACCTCCAAGAATGAAGTGGCAGGCTATGCGCTTGTGCAGAGGCCACCTCGCGGGCTCCCAGACGGAATGCCCGCCAGCGCTCCGTGAGGAAGACGCGAAGAGACACATTCAGTCCATCTCAGTTACAGATCATGTTACAGATGAGGCAAAAACACAGCCCAGCACAGGGCTGCACAGTGGACAGGACGGCGACGCAGCCAAGCGAGAGACTCAGACATGCCCATGATGAAACCCAGGGAAAAAATGGGGGACATAAGCATACAATACACTTTACAGAATCCAACTGTCACTTCCATTGCATTTAACAGAAACTAGAAAACAGAAAAAAATCCAGATTATATGAAAAAGTCTATCAACACACATTCCTCCATGAAGCTTCATGAAAGACTGAAGACTGCAGAGCGGCAGCAGGGAAGCAGCTGTGGAGGCCCCACCCCATCCCGGAGCAGTGACGGGACAAGAAATTCGGCCAAGGAGGCCGGCAGAGGTTATAACAACAGGTAAATGACAAAGCAGGACTGGAATGGGAGAGGCCAGCCCCGAAGACACTCAACTGTCTGTGGATAACTGAAATCATGAGGCCGAGTGAGGAGGAGGGTGCAGACCGGAAGGCAGGCTGGGGCACCCACCAGATGAGAGGGAGGCAACCAGGGACCCGCCAAGGAGCCAGGGATCAGCAGGTCAGAGTCCAGATGGCTGAGGGGCAAGACAAGAGTGGCTCCTGTGCCTCCTCCACCTAGTGGCGTGAGAAAGACCAGGCCTTCTTGGCACAAGTGTGCACACAGGCCAGGCTGGAAGCACACAGGAGAAGGAGGGGCCGTCTCTGTGGAGCAGGTTGAGAGAGCCCCCCCAACGAGGAGATATCAAAGTCCAAGGGCTCAGCCCAGGCTCAGGGAGGGGCTGGCACACATTCTAAGGAGGGAGGAGCTCCAATGGCAGCAGGGAGCAGGATGCTCAGGGCAGAGACAACCGGGGTGGTTGGAGGGTGAAGTGCCTGTGGACTAGAACAAGGACTGGAATTTTATCCTAAGGACACTGGGGACTCACCAGACAATTGTAAGCAGCGGACGTAAAGACCTATTTACAGTTTATAAATCTCAATAACAAATGTTTGGAGAATGAACGGGTAGAAATGCAAGAATGAATGGGAAGCAAGGCTGCCATCCAGGCGGGAGCTGGGCTATTTGGACCAGGGTGGTGATGATGGGAGTGAGCTGGGACATGGTCTCGAGGTAGAAGAATGAATGATGGATGGTCCGAGGGACAGTCGTGCAGGAGGGAAGAGGACAGGACCGGCCCAGGCTGGCTCCCGGCCACGGGGAGGATGGCGCAGGACTGCTTTCAGGGGAGGGAAGCCCTGTGTGTTCCACTCTGGGAATGGCAGCACTGAGAATGGTAGGGCTCCAGGCTGGGGCTCGGCACCCCTGCACTCAGGGCTGAGGGAAGGGCCAGGAGAGCAGCCTCAGCCAGCACCAAGGAAGCTGGAAGGAAAGCCCCATAACCAGAGCTTCCGCAGGAAGAGCCTGCAAAGCAGGATACCACAAATGTGGCAGTGGCTGGAGAGAGAACAGCAGCCTGACCACCCCCAGCGGTTGCAGGGACGAGGTGGGATGGGCCAGGGAGCACCTCATCCATGGCACCCAGTGGAACACAATGGAGTCCTTAGCCCTGCGGTCAAGAGGACATGAGGGACTAAGGGAGCAGCACCGGAACAAAGAGCACTAGCCCAGGTCCAAGAGGCCCTGACCGGCAGACGGGCTGCTCGCTGGTCAGCGCAGGACACACTGAGGGACCACACTGCATGGCCTGGGCCCCCATCCAAGGGGGAGAAACAGCCAAGCCAAGAGGTGGGAGGAGACAGGGAGAGCGACTTCTGAAATGACATCTGTGTATTCAACAAACACCTTTTGGGGAAGAAGCAACACACACAGGCCTTGGGCCAGGGTGACGAGCGTAGGGGAGGGAGGCTAAACCACATGCAGGGGCCAAGCAATCCCCGAGGACTGGCCAGGAGGCCATGAGACCCGCCTCACCTGGGGCCCTGGTGTAGCTGGCGACCGCTCCGTTGACCAGGCCGGCGTACAGGCTCTGAGACGTGCAAGCCAGGCTCATGACTGTGGACTTCTCAGGAGTGAAAAAGTGCTGAAGTCTCACTTTCTTGGAGCCTTGACTGCTTTTATAAATGGAAATGCTTTAAGAGAAAAATACAAGCTAATAAATATATTTGCTCGTTGGGAGAAGAATGAGGGTGTCTATTAACATAAACGCAAAACATTTCAATTCTTCCCTCTTGCCTGTCCTCATCCATCCCTAGAAACACTTGCCCGCGCTTTTTAAAAATTTGCAACCACCTTGATTTCTTTATTTTTAAAAGGGAAATTCTGGGATGTATAAAAACAATTAGTTCTTCCTATATATCTTGTAACTTCACATCAGGAAAATCATTTTAACTCTCCTTTAAATGGTGTCAATTCAATATGATCACAACATAAAATATGGTGGTGGTTTTATCCCAAAATATTAGGGGGGACGTGCTTTTAAAAAGCATGAATGAAAATGAGACATTTCAGTGGCAAACAGCAAAACTTTCTCATTTAAAGAAATACCACTTCTCTTTAAGACTTTCCGAGAATAATTTCCAGGAGCCCAATTCACTAGTTATTTCAAAGTGCAATGACCCTAAAAATTTCCCCTGGTATCCCCTAATTCCTACACGGGCTGCTCCTGAGTCAAAGTCAAGGACTCTTTCCAGGACAGGCTCCCCACCATGCCCTCCACGGGCAGAGCTGGCCGATTCTCTGTAACGTGTTGAGTGCTACCTACCTTCCCTCCTCCGTCCCTACGCAGATCGTTGGGACATCAGAAGCTCTTGTGGCTGAGGTCTCAGGGTCCAGGGGTGCCCTGGGTTCTCTGCGCTTCTCCTCAACAGGAATGTACAGCATGCACAGGATTCGAGATTCGACATTGAAGCACTCGATGACTTTGGGGGTGGAATTTTGAAACGAGACGATGGCAATCTGACCCATTTGATGGGTACAACTTCCAATCTGCACCAGAGAATGAGGAGAAAAAATGAAAATGGGAGTGTGGAGGGTTCCATAATGCGCTGGAATCTGACACTTACAGACCATGACAAGCTTCGATTTTCATATGAGAATCAACACACTTAGAAAAATCAAAAAATGCTTAAGCAATTGCTCACAGAGGCCCCTTTTCTTCTCAACATATTTAATTAGGGTTTTCAAAAAATTTTAAGGCAAGAGCATAACTTTAATTTTTACAAAGTTACATTTCTATACTTTAAAAAGCATGTAGTTGGCTGGGAGCGGTGGCTCATGCCTATAATCTCAGCACTTTGGGAGGCCAAAGCGGGTGGATCACGAGGTCAAGAGATCGAGACCATCCTGGTCAACAAGGTGAAACCATGTCTCCACTAAAAATACAAAAATTAGCTGCACATGGTGGCACACGCCTGTAGTTCCAGCTACTCAGGAGGCTGAGGCAGGAGAATTGCCTGAACCCAGAAGGCGGGGGTTGCAGTGAGCCGAGATCGTGCCATTGCACTCCAGTCTGGGTAACAACAGCGAAACTCCTTCTCAAAAAAAAAAAAAAAAAATCATGTAGTCATCACAATACAAAGGTAAAGGCCTATCCAGTCTCAATTTAAAGTTCTAAGAAGCAGATTATCATCCACTTTAATAACACTGAAGTTTAATGACCTTGGCTAAGAAAATAAACCTTTCAAATGTGAAAAACATCAATAAGAATATATCCCAAGGTAGACCATTTGAACTCAACACGTGGTATGTTGCGGAATTCTTTTTTTTTTTTTGAGATGGAGTCTCGATCTGTTGTCCAGGCTGGAATGCAGTGATGCAATCTCAGCTTGCTGCAACCTCGGCCTCCCAGGTTCAAGTGATTCTCCTGCCTGAGCCTCCCAAGTTGCTGGGACTACTGGGACTACAGGTTCATGTCAGCATGCCAGCTAATTTTTGTATTTTTAGCAGAGATGGGCAATCACTGTGTTGTCCAGGCTGGTCTTGAATCCGCCCGCCTCAGCCTCCCAAAGTGCTGGGATTACAGGTGTGAGCCACCTGACCTTGTGATCCACCCGCCTCAGCCTCCCAAAGTGCTGGGATTACAGGTGTGAGCCACCTGACCTTGTGATCCTCCCACCTCAGCCTCCCAAAGTGCTGGGATTACAGGTGTGAGCCACCTGACCTAGTGATCCACCTGCCTCAGCTTCCCAAAGTGCTGGGATTACAGGTGTGAGCCACCTGACCTAGTGATCCGCCCGCCTCAGCTTCCCAAAGTGCTGGGATTACAGGTGTGAGCCACCTGACCTAGTGATCCGCCCGCCTCAGCTTCCCAAAGTGCTGGGATTACAGGTGTGAGCCACCTGACCTTGTGATCCACCCGCCTCAGCCTCCCAAAGTGCTGGGATTACAGGTGTGAGCCACCGCACCCAGCTGCGGAATTTCTAAAGTAGCACTGCTACAAGTGTGTACGTGAACTTCCTGTGTGTTCGAATCTCAACAATGAGAACACATAGCAGTTTCCCAATTTAAACTTAAATTTAATTTTTTTAAGTGGGAAAGGGTCTGATCCCTGTGAACAGAAAGCACTAGCTAATTTAGGGTGGTGTTTTCACTGATTCTTTTTCTTTTCCACCAACTTTGAGAATGTTGTCAAACTCTCCTTATCTTTCCCGTATGTATTCCACGCTACACACAGACATCCTACTTTCATGCTGTCAGGGAAGAATGCCAATCTCCCAAGCCCCTGCACTGCCTACAGGGCTGGGCTGTGACCAGGCGAGGGGATGAAGCTTCAGTGATGACAGGTCTGCCTGCCTAGATGGAAAACAGGTCTCCTAAAAGTGGAAACCCCCAAGGGAATTACAGCTACTCCTCCATTCATAGGTTGGTACGAACGAAATACCAGCTAATTGGGTTGTTCCGTTTCTGACACTCAACTAGGAACATGGACCAAGCAGGATCCGTGGCTGTGAGAAGTGAGAGGCATGACTTGCTGCACAGGACGCCTGGGAGGGAAGGATGAGGGTTTGGAAAAGCACAGTGGACCGCTGGAGGGCAAGTCTGAGGCTGCAGGGAGGGAACACAGGAAACCAGAGACGGGAGAGCCTCGGACCACACAGCTCGACTCTCATTTGCAGGAACCAGGAACGTCTACCGCAATAGCACCCTAATTTCAGATGCAATATTTCATTTGGAACAAATTAATTTTAATTGCTAAGTTTCCACTGCAAAAAGCCAGTCTTGGAAAGAGAAACCATGCAGTGTTGCCACCAAAATGGAAAAAAATATTAAAATTATTGTCATATTAGTTTATTGTCTTTGGACTGAACTTTATCTGGTAAATGTTTAAGATGAAAAGGAAAAGAAACAAATACTTGCATTCCTAAGAACTCTAAATCTTTTCCAGCTCCCTTTCAAAGAAGGGTTCATGTTTGTGAGTACACTCTGGGCTCAGCCACCACCAACTCTCCACTGAGCGGTTCACATCGTAGTCTCTCATCACACCTACTACGAATGTTGATTCTCTGTGAACCTGCGCTAAAAACACATAAACACATCTTACCCACAGGAAACCATGTGCCGTGGAAAATGAATCCGGCTGGCTTTCATTGTTTAGGTAAGGTTCAGGATTATAAGCAGCACATTCAATCTAAAATGGAATAAAATGAAACGTTCACATATAAAACAGAGCTAAGAGGCTGTTAGACTATATAACATCTTAAATGGATGACTCACTTCCAACGTATAACCACAGAAATTATAGGTTCATTACCTATCAAAGATTGAAATAGGAGGATAAAAGTTTAAAAGTACAAGTCTCAGAAGCTAGCTTTTTAGAAGCAAACACCTAAGCAGATTCAACCTTTGGTATCTTACTCTTCAGATCCCATCAGCACGCAGAAATCCAGGGGCGCATCAGATGGGAGAGCCGGCCCCGGAGACATCGAGCGCAGCCTATGAGTGAGAAAGCCTGAGCCTCTTCCCTTCCCTGGCCCACCCAGGTGTCTCCCAGGGGAGTCCTGTGCACTGTCTGAGACTCCCAATGGGAGGGGTTGGGGAAGCTGCTAGGAAACCCCAGCCAGAGACCAGGGTGAGAAATAGTATCTTTATTTCTTAAAGAATAAGATATCGCCAACGTCACTGAAGGCCCTGGCCTGTTGTGCCTGAGTCAGTGACACCAGGAACATTAACGAGATGCCACCCTGGAGGTGGAGTCTACCGAGGCAGAGAGCGGGATGGTGCCTCAAGCAGACATGAGACCTGGAGTTACGATCTGCTGTGGAAACAGACTGTTGGCCAAGCAGAGGCGAAACAGAGCTACAAATGTGAAACACGTGCCCCTGTTTAACTAGCAAGGCCTCCGACGCTGTGGAGCTGTTGGAACAGCCCAGGGTCCTAGCCCAGGACTGGGCTTCAGAGATAATAGCTGGGTTTTTTAGGTTTTAAACAACAGCAATCTTATTTCCAAATGAATCACCTCTCGAGAAGCAGCGACTCTGGTTAACCTGGGAAGACCATGTTCTTACCATGCCCCTTAAGAATCACCTCCCAACTGGCCCAGTCAGAGCTGCGAGGTGCACCCCACCGTGGGCTGGGCCCTGCCGGGCCTCCCTTTACCTTGAACTCCTGCTGCTTGGCCACCATCACGGGCATGTGTCCGACAAGGAGAGGATGCTTCTCCTTTTTAATGTGATTCCCATCATCTTCCACACAGAACCAGCCCATATGGTTCTCCTCTTCTGTGATTATATTCAGAAAGAAATGAGCAAGAATGCAGTTAATTTACATGCAACACACCTGCAGCGCCACGGGCCACAGCAGGGGACGCTCCTAGCGTTCTGTTTGGGACCAGACAACTCCAGGTTTGACTTCTGGAAAACAGTACGGTCTCCTCTTACAGCATACACTGTGTATTTACGGCATTATTTCAGGAGGCAGCATCGCCCCATCTAAATGGGAGGGACATCTTCCTGTTTGCGCCTCCTGTATGCTGGACCCAAAGGCTGCGAAACTTTGCTGTGGAAACCACATAGGTCACTTCCCTTCATCTTTCTCTACTTTTCTCCAAAGCAAGAGAGACGTTTAGATTCAGACACCAGAGATGTATTAAGAAACTTTAAAACATGGTATAATACTGAGATAAAAAAGCACAACGAAATGGAGAAATATTTTGCCACTGAAACAAACCGTCAACCTGGGTATTAAGGAACAGGCGTTGGACCTGAAGACGGAAGGGGACTTATCTGCATGTTCAGCTCATTCTCTTTAGAGAGTGGCTACCTCCTTGTTTGCTGAGTCACTTTGAACCTGACCTGACAAACCACTAAATTATTTAGCAAGAAAGAGAGGGGCTGTGTTTCTGCTTCCTTGTCAGGAAGGCTTTCCCTTCCAGACAAGGCCCTTCCACGGATCAGAGCTCCCTGGGGCAATGGCATTATCCACGCTCTGCATTTCCCTTCTCTATTTTGTACTCAGTTAACATTTCAGATTATCTACCACAGAAAGAGAATTTTACAGACACATGACAGCCCAGTATGTTCTGAGTAACAAGTCTGAGGCGTGTGTATAAGTACATTACACAGAGAGCAAAAAATAATCAAGGCTGCAGAGACATCGGACCAAGGAAATCAGTGACACCTACAGGAAAACCACAGGGTTTATCTTCGGTGCTGGGAGGATCCTTAGTGACCCCTCAGCCCAGCCCTGTGTTTTCCTTCTCAGTGAGGAGTGAGCAGAAGGGCCAAGAGGAACAATGACTTCCCTGGCATTTGGAGGCCACTGCCCGCCACCTGCCTCGAGCATCTGGTTCACAGCCAGGCTCCATGGACTTCCTCTGTGCTCAGCTGCTGCAGCTGGTACCAGAACTACCATGGCCTTGCTCCTGCAACCCCTCCATTTTAATATGAACGTCTTAAAAACTGCTCGTGCTACGGTTAACTTTCCCCTTTCAGGTCAATGGACGGATCCACTGCTGAGTTTCCTTCTCAACCCTGACCTCACCCTTGCAGGCAGGAATTCCCCATCAGGCAGCATGCCTCATTCAGCCTCAGCCAGCCAGGCCTTACCCAGGGCAAGCTTGGCCATCTGTAAGCTGTTGACCCAGGACTCCTTGATGGCAGGGGTAAACGTATTGAACACAGCTGTAAAGAAGGTCGGTCGCCCAGATCTGCCAGAAACAACAGAGAGGCATTCATTGCATAAAATGTGCTCCATCCTGTGAGGTTAAGTTACATCGTTTGCCTGTCTTATGTAATCAGCAAGCCAAAAAACATATATGTCACGACAAAGAACCATTTTTTTTCCCCCAGCACTGACCAAGAAGGTTTCGTTTTAAAGCTACTACTAACTTGTCGTGCTTCCCTGGGAGCTGTAACTGAATTCTGCAGCAGTCCGCAGCTCTGATTTCATCTTCTTTCTTCAAAATGAGCCTTTGTAAACCTGATGTCCAATCATGGGCTACTGACTGGTTTAAGTTCTACAGAGGAAATAAATACGCACATTTCAAACATGTTTAAAAAGTAGGGCCATCCCAAGTAAGAATAAGAAAGGTTTTAACATGAGAAATTCAGACCAAATAAAACCACTGGATTATGAAGAAGAAACCTTTGGGAGTCAGACCACACTGGGAGAGGGCCAGGGGTTTTAAGACAGAACTGATATTCAAGTCTATTTGCAAAATGAAAAAAAGTTACGGTTAAATACTTTCACCTTCTCTAATACAAGAGAAAATGTATAATCAGATTAATTTTTAAAGTCAAAATGAATTCTCACTTGTGGTAGAACTTGGAGATATAATAAAATGCTTACAATGACTTAGAAGTGAAGACAGAATCTGAAATCAAATCGCTTCAATTGTTACCTGATAGTTTCCTTTAAGGTTTCCTATCAGCTGAGTGATTTGACCGATTACATTTAAGTCATGTAACAAGTTTTGCAAATCTTGATACAGTTGTCCTGGCCCCATATAAACTTTGTCTACAAAATAAGAAGAAAAAAAAGAATACAAATGTAAACCCATGTTTACTTTAAAACCTGAGGGAAGAAAACACTAAAATAACAGTTAAATAATTTTTAAGTTCAGGGGTGAATCTAACATTTTCAAGCATTCAGTGGTTTTTCCTTTTCTAACATTTATTTAGAAATAATTTCAGGTGGAAAAGTTGCAAAGAGCTGCCTCCTGAGTGCCGGGGCCTGGCTTCCACAAGGCTAACATCTGACATAAGCATAGTGTGACCGTCAAATCCAGGACACCACATTGATAGGGCACTTCTAACTGATCTACAGACCTTCTTCAAACCTCACCGCTTTCACTCCAATGTCACTTTCTAGCCCCAGATGCAGCCCAGGGCCTCGCACTGCATTCTGTGGTCACATCCCCGAAATCTCCTCCAGTCTGGGGGAGAGTTTCTCAATCTTCCTCTTTCACGATCCTGACATTTTTGGAGGATGCTGGTGAGTTACAGAATGTCTCACAATTCGGGTTTGACTGATGTTTTGTCCCTTTCACAGTTTTTAAACACTTGACCTAACAGCTATTAGTCAGAGGCACCTAGAAATGACATTTAATCTGAACCACATCTCCAATAACGGGTCATCCACCATCAAAAAGAGTTCCCCAGTGATCTTTCCTAACTTTTTTTTTACGGGAATAGAAACGGTTTGTCTTCAGTGACTTGGGTTAGGGAAATGACTCATTTCCTGAGGTCTCAAGTGCCCAGGTGAGAACTGCTCTGTTCCTCACAGAGTGCTTTCTGTGTGCTACAGCAGGTGATGTTCAAATACTTTTCACCAAATCCCACGACGGGCCCACAGGCACAGAGGACAGACTCCCCCATCCCCCGATTTGACTGATGACAGATAAGGAAGATTTGATCTCAGAATTAGCCTGAGAGTCTATACTTTAAAGCAAGATGTAATAATACCCTCCTTATTTTCCACTTCTCATAGAAATTAATTGTCTAAGGTCAAACAACCAGGAAGAGAAGGAGCCAAAATTCAAACATGGGTAGAAGAAATTCATTTAAGTTGAGTAAGGTGCCTTGTGTTCCAGCAGGACAAGCTTCATGGCCACGGGTCTGTGCAGTTGCATGGGCCTGAGCTTACAGGGCCCAGAACTTGGTCTCAGGCTCTGATGTGGACATCCTGAAATTCTTAATCATTTTGGGAAAGGACTCTGCATTTTCCTTTTATGCTATGTCCTACAAATTATGTAGCTTGTTCTCTTAGTGTGTATAACATATATCACACATATATGTAAAAACTGAAAGAGCCTATATAAATCCAATAAAAATATTTCAGATACATGTATCTAAAAAGATTTACTATATAACTGAAGAGTAGCATAACGCTTTATAATTTTGCAGGCACTTTATATTAAAGAGATGATTATGTGGTATTTATGCACATGGTAGGCCTGATTTTTATCAACTATCTAGACAAATTCAATTACTAAATACATTTGTTGTTTGTTTGTTTGTTTGTCTTTTGAGATGGAATCTCACTCTGTCTCCAGGCTGGAGTGCAGTGGCACATCTTGACTCACTGCAACCTCTGCCTCTCAGGTTCAAGTGATCCTCCTGCCTCAGCTTCCCAAGTAGCTGGGACTAAGGCATACACCACCACGCCCAGCTAATTTTTTGTATTTTTAGTAGAGAAAGGGTCTCACTATGTTGTCCAGGATGCTGTCGATCTCTTGACCTCATGATCCACCCACCTCAGCCTCCCAAAGTGCTATGATTACAGGCATGAGCCACCACACCTGGCCTGCTAACTGCACTTGAAGTATCAAGAAATGTCATAAAAAGGGTAGCAACGCGATCCGGTAGTTGCCCATAGCGACTTTATTGAGCCTTATACAATGCTTAAAATTTAAAATGTTTCATGACACACATACTTGCGTTCATTCATGACTTTGATGACAAACTCTAAAACACAACCTTGTAATCCAAGTATAGGCTGGCTGTGGTGGCTCATGCCTGTAATACCAGCACTTCGGGAGGCCGAGGTGAGAGGATTGCTAAAGGTCAGGAGTTCAAGACCAGCCTGGGCAGCATAGTTTAAAACAAAAACAAAAAAAGGTTAGTCAGGCATTGTAATGTGCACCTGCAGCCTGTAGTGGCAAATACTTGGGAGTCTGAGGCAGGGAGCTCACTCGAGCCAAGGAAGCCAAGGCTGCAATGAGCTATGACTGTGCCACTGCACTACGGCCTGGGCACCCAAACGAGATCTTGTGCCAAAATTAATAAATGAGTAAATAAAATTGTAAGTGCTATGTAAACTTTATTAATTAGTTAACTTCTTTTAAAAGTGATCTTAAAATATGATCTTCACAATTACCACCCAATCAAATTGACCCTTCTATTTTTGGTCTGCAGCTCTATGTATTTTCACACATGCATAGATGCATACAAATATCTCCCCAGTAAGCCTGAGGGAGAACTCCAGGGCACAAAGAACAGCTCCATCACCCACAGAGCAGCTCCATCACCCACAGAGCAGCTCCATCACCCACAGAGCAGCTCCATCACCCACAGAAAAGCTCCATCACCCACAGAGCAGTTCCATCACCCACAGAGCAGTTCCATCACCCACAGAAAAGCTCCATCACCCATAGAACAGCTCCATCACCCACAGAACAGCTCCATCACCCACAGAGCGGCTCCATCACCCACAGAGCGGCTCCATCACCCACAGAGCGGCTCCATCACCCACAGAGCGGCTCCATCACCCACAGAGCGGCTCCATCACCCACAGAGCGGCTCCATCACCCACAGAACGGCTCCATCACCCACAGAACGGCTCCATCACCCACAGAACAGCTCCATCACCCACAGAGCAGCTCCATCACCCACAGAGCAGCTCCATCACCCACAGAGCAGCTCCATCACCCACAGAACAGCTCCATCACCCACAGAGCAGCTCCATCACCCACAGAACGGCTCCATCATCCACAGAGCAGCTCCATCACCCACAGAACAGCTCCATCACCCATAGAACAGCTCCATCACCCACAGAACAGCTCCATCACACACAGAACAGCTCCACCACCCATAGAAAAGCTCCATCACTCACAGAGTAGCTCCATCACCCATGGAACAGCTCCATCACTCATGAAACAGCTCCATCACTATACAGAACAGCTCCATCACCCACAGAACAGTTCTATCACACACAGAACATCTCCATCAATCACAGAACAGCTCCATCACTGTACAGAACAGCTCCATCACCCACAGAACAGCTCCATCACTGTACAGAACAGCTCCATCACCCACAGAACAGCTCCATCACTGTACAGAACAGCTCCATCACCCACAGAACAGCTCCATCACTGTACAGAACAGCTCCATCACCCACAGAACAGCTCCATCACCCACAGAACAGCTCCATCACTATACAGAACAGCTCCATCACCCACAGAACAGTTCTATCACACACAGAACAGCTCCATCAATCACAGAACAGCTCCATCACTGTACAGAACAGCTCCATCACCCACAGAACAGCTCCATCACTGTACAGAACAGCTCCATCACCCACAGAACAGCTCCATCACTGTACAGAACAGCTCCATCACCCACAGAACAGCTCCATCACTGTACAGAACAGCTCCATCACCCACAGAACAGCTCCATCACTGTACAGAACAGCTCCATCACCCACAGAACAGCTCCACCACCCACAGAACAGATCTATCACTCACAGAGCAGCTCCATCACCCATGGAACAGCTCCATCATGCACAAAATAGCTCTACCATGCTACAGACTAGCTCTATCACCCATAAAACAGCTCATCACTCACAGAGCAACTCCATCATCCACAGAACAGGTCCATCACCCACAAAACAGCTTCATCACTGTACAGAACAGCTCCATCACCCACAGAACAGCTCCACCACCCATAGAACAGCTCTATCACTCACAGAGCAGCTCCATCACCCATGGAACAGCTCCATCACTCACAGAAAAGCTCCATCACTCACGGAACGGCTCCATCACCCACGGAGCAGCTCCATCATGCACAAAATAGCTCTACCATGCTACAGACTAGCTCTATCACCCATAAAACAGCTCATCACTCACAGAGCAACTCCATCATCCACAGAACAGGTCCATCACCCACAAAACAGCTCCATCACCCTACAGAACTGGCCTGCCACCCAGAGACCAGCTCCTTACCTACAGGGTACATGGGATAGGTCACAGGGATTCACAGGTGCACAGATTTCAGTTCTATGGGAGAAATAGGTTCCAAGAGGCCTAGAGTAGTCGATAAAGTATTGTGTACTTGAAAATCACTAAGAGCAGTCTTTAAAGTTCTCACCATGAACAAATGGTAAATGTGTGACATAAGGCATATGTTAGCTTGATTTAGCCATTCCACAATGTATACTTATTTCAAAACACCATGTTTTAAACCATAAATGTATATGACTATTCGTCAATTAAAAACATAAACATTTAAAAAATAAATACACAAACACACACACTGCCACTGATGTGAACCTATCAGGGGAATGGACAATACTCTTTTCCTAGTGGATTAAAGAATCTTCTGCACTGAGATGAGGAGGAGTTCCTCGACTTTACAGAGCATGGAAATGTGTTGAAGTTTTATGTCTGCTGGATCATCAGACAGTTCATAACAGGGCACCATTGGGGCACAGATGACACCACAGAGCAACCAGAGACTTCCAAATGAATGGGGACAACGTGCGCTGCCAACGAAAGTGTCTGCGCTCACATCCCAAGAATAACAAGAAACCACACAGTGCGGCCAGTGCTTTTCAAACGTGATTCTCAGTTTCAGAAAGAAATATTTCATGTTGATTTTCAGGTCAAAATGGATTAAAGCAACCCCTGCAGGCCGAGTACGGTGGCTCATGCCTGTAATCTCAGCACTTTGGGAGGCCAAGGCAGGCAGATCACCTGAAGTCAAGAGTTTGAGACCAGCCTAGCCAACATGGTAAAACCA